AGCCAACAAACAGAACCATGACTTTAGGTGGAACTCTCTCTGTGCACACACACTATATAGCCAACAAACAGAACCACGACTTTAGATGGCTGGGGAGATGGCTCAGTGTGGTGAAGTGCATGCTATCCAAGCATAAGGAACTGGGAACTGAGTCTAGATCCCCAGCACCACAAAGAAGGTGGGTCTGTCAGCATCCTCTAAATCCCGGGTGTTCACATGTTAGCCTGTCCAGCTGAATTGATGAGCTCAAGTTCCAAGAGACTGAAGTTTAAAGAACAAGATGGAGAAGGATCAGGGAAGACACCAGATATTAATTTCTGGACTCACATTCATGGGTACAAATGTACACACACAATAAGAAAGCAAGACCCATACATTTGACTTTCACTGGATGTAGTAATACACACCTGTAATCTTAGCACTTGAGAGACTGAGTCAGGTACACAGCTGCTAACCCATTAGACAAGGCTAACCTGGATTAGGTCTTAAGACCCTATATCCAACTCCTCCCCCTTCCCCTAATCAAACAAGTCTTTTCAGAAGTCATATTGGGTGAGTAAAATGTTTCGATTCTATTAACATTTAGGAAGCAGCTGCTGCAGCTAGTTCAACATAGATACTACAACAGATTCCAGTTGGTTGTGTAGATACAGTAAGGCCCATTTCTTTTCCTCTAGAATTTACTCAAGAACTCTGCTTTATTCTGTGGTAGCTTTTGCCCTAAGAGCACTGTGTTTCATTCACTCGTGTATTAGATGATGCCTCCATGAATAACATACAACTGGAAGTCAACAGCTCTTTTATTTGCCTTTTATTTGCTCTTTTATTTGCCTCTGAAGTTCCCACCCTCTTCCTGCTGGGGAAAAAAAGATCTCTTTTGTGATGTCACAGACAGCTGCTTGTATTCTTCTATAGTATATTGATGCTGAGCTTAATACACAGCCCAGTTTAGAATTTTGCTGCATCATCACAACATAGAGTTCCAGCTGAAAAAGCAGCCCCTACTGATACTCTTTTGAAATAAATTTAGGAAACTGGCCTTTAACAAAAAGAAGCACTATTTGCTTTGTCAACGGCATGCTGTCCCAGAAGTACTAATCTGAACTGGCGTATTTTATTTCTAGCACTTTGCCTGTTGAGTCTTGTTGTTTCTTAATTAGTCATAAAGTCCCTAACTTCAGACTTCTAAAGGAACTTCCAAGACACAGGAATCAATTATCTTATTTGTGGAGAAAAAGTCAACTATGGCCAGTCCTCAGCGCTCCCCTCCTTTACACTGGACCATGAGGGTCTTCAGCCCTGGACAAGCTTCCTCTTTCTACTCTGCTTTCCTGCTTCCTCTGCAGACCAACATTACTAATTCACATGTAGCTATCCACCTATAATACCAGCACCACAGAGGCTTCTGTCGGGGGGATCACCAGTGTGTGTCAGTCTAGCTAGATTATAGAGTGGGTTCTAGGACAGCCTGGGGTATAGAGCAAGATCCTATCTCAAAAGCATGTGATCCCCCCCCAGTACTATAGTTACCTAGTGAAGCTCAACTGCTTCACTGTAAGCTAAACCTTTTCCAACTCTGCACTCCAGTCACCCCTGGGTACTTTCTTCACCACACCCACCATCTACCACTTCTTTATCATCCTTGTTAAGGTAAAAACCCCAGGGAAATCAAAGAAGTGCTTATACTTAAATGCTTAGGCTCACTACCTATATACATACAGTAAGTACTAAGGCAGACACTGCTACACAGCAAGCCCCTCTCTGAAAATAAAAAGCACCTGTCACTAATTACACGTAAGTAATAAAAACTAGTTTAGTGTTGTGGTGATTGAATATTTAAAAAGGGACCTTGAGCCAGAAAGATGGCTCATTAGTTCAGTTAAGAGGATCAGTTGCTTGCTCTTCCAGAGGACCTAGGTTTGATTCCCAGCACCCACATGGTGGCTTAGTGTAACTACAGTTCCTAGAAATCCTATGCCCTCTTCTGGCCTCTAAGAACATGAAGCACACACGGGATGCACAGACATACATGCTGGCAAAACCCATACACATAAAATAAGATAAAAATAAAAAATAAAAATGGGACCTCTAGGTAGTTTAGTTGGGATATGCTTTTAATCCTAGAACTTGAGAGGCAGAGGCAGGATCTCTGTGAAACCATGTCTTAGCACAACCAAACATTTTTTAATGGGGAGGAGGAGAGGACATTGCAGCTATAAAGTATATTAAAATTACTAACCTTTCAGTACATGATAGTTATAAGATTTATGAGATTGAAAGCACAGCAAAGGCATGTTCAACAAAATAAAAGAGCAAAAAACTAAACTATTTCATACCCACCTTGCTTATCTCCTCTTCATACTCTCGCCTCAACTCCCCAGGTTTACTGAGCAGACGAACTGGCTGGTACTCATCAACTGTTTTCACGGAAAAAAACAGCATTAGGGCAATAGAGAAGTTTATGACTAACTTTGGCCTTCCATTAAAACTTAATACACAGACAGACAGACACAGACACAGACACAGACACACACACACACACACACACACACACACACACAAACACTTTCTATTAAAATAACTGTAAGCCGAGCAGTGGTGGTGCACGCCTGTAATCCCAGCACTTGGGAGGCAGAGGCAGGCGGATTTCTGAGTTCGAGAGTTCAAGGCCAGCCTGGTCTACAGAGTGAGTTCCAGGACAGCCAGGGCTACACAGAGAAACCCTGTCTCAAAAAAGCCAAAAAAAAACAAAAACAAAACCAAAAACAAAATAAAAAACCAACCAAACAATAACAACAAAAAAACTGTAAAAGTCAGAACTAGGGATGAAGTTCAATAGCAGAGTTCATATCTAGCATGCACCAGGCCCTGGGCCATAAAAACCCACCACTAGAGTACTTAATACAAGCAAACAAACCAAGTATACTAAGAGATTAAGGAAGAGGAGTAAATAAATTAACTTTTAAAAATTGAGACAAAGTCTAGCCTCTGACTTGTGATCCTCCTGCCTCAGATTCCTCTGTTGAAATCAGAAGCATGAGCCACAAACCACCATGCCCAGCTAGGTCTTTGAATTTTCCATTTATCTAATATTTTGTAGTTTTTCTGAGAGGGAGCCTTAGATTATCCTGTTGAGCTGTGTTCCAGTTGTAACCTCCAGTGCGTCAGAATAGGATTTTAATTGGAGACAGGATCATTTAGAGGTAATCAAATTAACTATGGTCATTGGGGTGAATCTTTTAATTATGACTAGTAATCTTGTAAATATGGGACAAATTTGGACACAAAAACAAATACGCACAAATGGGAGATGGTATCAAGAGATGCAGAGAAAGGGGATGGGACTGGAGGGATGGCTCACTGGTTAAGAGCACTGGCTGCTCTTGCAAAGGACCCGAGTTTGATTCTCAGCACTCACAACCATCTCTATCTCCAGCTCCAAGATATCCAACATCCTCTTCCGGCCTTAGCAGGCACCAGGCATGTACACAGCACAGAATCATATACCAGGCATAATACCAACACACAGAAGAGATCAAAAAGCTACAAAGTAGTGCAGAATGTTAAAGGCCCTGCCTGGTTTCAGTTTGACTTCTAGCCTACAAAACTAGTAGAAAATTTTCTTTTCTTTTTGTCATACAGTTTGTGGTACTCTGTCATTCTGGCTTTAGGAAACTGATATTACTCCTGAGTGCTACAATTAAAAGTGTGCACCACCACAGCCAGGGCTGGCTCTACATTTTTAAAAGCTAATATGTGTATATGTATGATTGAATCCAAAGCACTCTGCCACTGACCTATATCCCAGGCCTACAGTTTAGGAATTTAATGAAGATTTTAAAGCTCAATAGTATCAAGAACATAAAAGAGTCACGAGGTAGAGCCAGGCATGTAGCACATGCCTCTAGTCCTAGCTTGAAGGAAGAAGCAGGCAGATTGTTGTGAGTTCAGGCTAGGCTGGGCTGCAACTCTTTATTGCCACGATATGGAACCTGTCAATTTTGTTCCCGTTAGACACCACTGCTATGACAAAATGCCTCACATAAATAACTTGAGAAAGGAAAGATTTAGTTTGGCTCATTCAGAGGTTTGGATTTAAGGTTTTATGCCTGTGCAAGGCAGACTGTAGAAAGTCTTGGTAGAGGAGAGTTGCCCACTTCGCCTACAGTCAAAAAGCAAAGAACAAAGGGAGGAACCAGGAACAATGTAACCCCTCAAAGGCATTTCCAGTGACCAGTCTATTTCCTCCAGCCAGGCCTCACCTCCTAACAGCCCAGTTGGGATGAACTTATCAGTGGACTGATCCACTATGAAGTTAATGCTCTCCATATACACTCGGGTGAGTGATGACAGCTCGAACGAAGTCTCTATCCCACTTACTTAGCAATTCCATTTAATGAACAATACAGTCTGTTGCAGATATGTACATTTAGTTCATCCATCCATTGACGGCACTTAGGCGCTTCTACCTTTTTATCCTGGTATTTCATACAGTATGTTTTACAAGTTTGTACTAGTATGTTCTCATATTACAAAGGCAATTAAGAGGAAGGGCCTTCCTTTTCACATTTGAGTCATCTGAAAACAGAACTATACATTTTAAAAAAAACAAACCCTTCATTTGGATTACACAAAGAAAAGTTAATTTTTTTTTTCTTTATACAGGTGGACATAATTCTTAATTCGCCTTTCTTTTTAAAAGGCTCCAAAAGCTGGGCAGTGGTGGAGCACACCTTTAGTTGAGGCTTATTGGGAGGCCAAAGCAGGTGGAGCTCTACATTTGAGGACAGGACAGCCAGGGTTATTTATTACAGAGAAATCCAGTCTCAAAAAGGAACATGGGATGAATTTGCATGTCAGCCTTGCACAAGGGCCATGACATCGTCTCTGTCTCATTCTAATTCTAGTATACATCTGCTAAAGCAAGCACTGTTCTTCCTTTCGATTACAGTGAAACTGCTATGGACTCTATTAGTTTGAGTTTGTTTCCATTCTTTCAGTATTTTGTCTTGCTGTTTTCACACTTATTTGGCACGTGTGTGTGTGTGTGTGTGTGTGTGTGTGTGTGTGTGTATTCATGTGTTTTTATGTCAATGGAGAAATTAGAGAACTTAGTGGAGTTGGCGTTTTTCCTCCACCCATGAGTTCTGGGTTTGAACTCAGGTCGTCAGGCTTAGCAACAAGCACCTTACCCAGTGCACCACCACAGCTCCTCCTTCCCCCATATGAGTTTTCACAGTCATCCAAATGAGTAGGAAGAGGTCGTATTGCCTCTATCTCTGTGGTTTTCATTTTTACTTCCCTTGTGACTGGTGACTCCATTCATGACATTCAGGTGTCTAGCTTACTACTAAGACACTAGCTAAGCACCAGACTATCATCATAAGCACCAGACAGGCACACTGTCTAAACCCTTTTCCCACCTCTTTTCTTTGAGACTGTCCCACTGTAACTCAGGCTGTCTGACTCTGAATCTACTACTATGTAGCTGAGGCTTACCTTAAATTGAGCCTCTTGAGTGCTAGCTAGCTAGGACTACAGGAGTGAGCTGCCTTATCTGACCACTTTTCCCATTTTTAACTGGATCCTTAAGCTTAAGGAATCTTGTTTTGAGACAGGATCTTAATGTAGTCTTGGCTAAACTCTTGATGTAGATGCCATGCTGAGGTTTTGGTTTTGTTTTTTTTAAAGTGGGTTATTTTCTTGGTGAGTTATTTTTTAAGAAGGTCTCACACCGGGCGGTGTTGGCGCACACCTTTAATCCTAGCACTTGGGAGGCAGAGGCAGGTGGATTTCTGAGTTCGAGGCCAGCCTGGTCTACAGAATGAGTTCCAGGACAGCCAGGGCTATACAGAGAAACCTTGTCTCGAAAAACCAAAAAAAAAAAAAAAAAGAAGGTCTCACAATATAGCCCTGCCTGGCCTAGAATGGACCCTCTTGCTTATATTTAGGCATTATTTTCTTAACATCTATGATTTGCAAATATTTTCTTCCATTTTGTAGGCTCTTTTGATCTCGTGGCTAGTTTTATTTATCAATTGAACTTAAGGTTAAGAAAATTCTGACAGTTGGAGAGGTGGCTCAGTGGTTACAGATGCTTACTGTTCTTCCAGAGGACCTAGGTTTGGTTGGTTCCCAGTCTCACATTGCAGCCTACAACTTTCTGTCACTCAGTTCTAGGGACCTCATGTCTCTTCTGTACGGCATGCACATGGTGCTCATACACTCACATACTCACTCAATACATATTAAAGAAAATAAGAAATCTCAAGTTTTCCGAAGTATCTGCAATTACTTAATTCTGCTACCTCCACAGATAAAGACTTGTTCCTAAGAACACTAACAGTGATATTCTAAGACAGGGGCTATTGAGCCATGGTTCATTGGCAGGCCAAATCTGCCCCTTTACAGTTATTTTTCATTAAGTTTTATGGAAACACAGGCACTACCTTCATTTACAAAGGGCAATGGAAATTAATGTATTGTCTATGGTGGCCTTTGTTCTGTAGTGGCAAATCTCACCAAGTGTCTCAGTAGACTATACAGCCCACAAAATACTATTCTGCCCTTTACAGAAAAGGATGCCAACCCTCACTAATACTACATGACAAAGGACAGGTGTGTTCCTGAACACCTGCAACTCCAGTGTTTGTGAGGCTAAGGCTACCACATAGTAATAAAACCTTGTCTCAAAACATATCTGAAAATAAATGTTTTAAAGCAACCACCTTAATTCACAGCAGGTGAACTTGACCATTTATTGCACATGATAAAAGTCTGTCCTTGACTTTAACCGATGTGTGGGCAGGGCTTATAAAACCACAAATCCTCACAGTTTAGACTATTTAGCCTTCTTTTTCTTTTCTTTTTTAATTAGAAAATTATGGTTCCAGCCGTGCTGGTGGTGGCCCGCACCTTTATTCCCAGCACTTAGGAGGCAGAGGTAGGTGTATCTGAATTCGAGGACAGCCTGGTCTACATTGTGAGTACCAGGACAGCCAGGGCTACACAGAGTAACCCTGTCTCAAGAAACAAAAACAAAGATGGTTCCCTTTCTAATCGATTTTAGTTTGTTTGTTTGACCCAAAAACATGTTTAATTTTACTTACTGATTTCCTTTGACTCTTGTCCAGAGATTCTAAGCTTGCATTCCTTTGCATAGTGTTTTTGAATAATCTCCCACAGGTCTGTATTGACCAGAGAATTTCTTCGGGTATGGTACCGAGTCCATGAAGAGACCCGGCGGCGACAGAAAGGACAGCATAGATTGGCCTTTTCAACAGTCGATTGGAAGCATGGGTTACAAAGCGTGTGGTTGCAAGGTAGGGTTACAGGCTCTAGGAGGATTTCCATACAGATCCCGCACTGACATTCGGCTAAGGAAGGGATGGAGTTTTTAGGTGCAGCCATCTTCATATGCTAATGAGGCCTACCCAACGTCAACACCTGAAAGGAACAGAAGTCGTCTTTCGGCTAATCTCACACAGTATGATGTTTAATGCCGTTTGATGTTTATTCTCACGTACAGCAGCGTACTGAAATCCAGACGGCCTGAGTTTCCACAGGCCCGAGGCAAACAGGAGCTGTGATGTCAGGTAAACAGTTATGCCCTGCGTCCAGCAAGGGAATAAAACAACGTTCCTCCGGGAGCGCTGCGGTCTCGGGGCGGAGAGTGTTTCTGTCTCCCCGCGCCACAGAAGGTCTCATCCAGCTCCCCTTCTTACCCGGTGAGAACCCGCCTTTTTGCGCGAGGCCGCCGGACCTGCCAGCGCCGAAAGCTCGGAGACCGCCGCTCCGAGAGCACCCGGAACCGCCCGGAAGCCGGGCTCCGGCCGCCGCTGGACTTCCGTCTCGCCGTTGCGGTGGAGGCAGGCCTCCAGTGCCCACGCTCCAGCTTCTGGCCGCCTCGCGGTTCCCCCGGGTCCCGAGACCCGGCCGCTGAGACCCGCTGTCCTGTCAGTCGCTCTATGGGCCGCGGCCGGAGCGGGTACACAGGTTCTACAGACGTCACAATTCCCCGCCAAAACGGCACGTCTTCCCCCCAAGGAACCGCCCAGTTGGGCGGGACTTCCGGGAACTGCGCTCGTGGTCGCGCCTGACCCGCCAGTAGCAACTCCTCCCACTTTTTGTGTCTCAGCTGCTGTAGCTGCAGAAACTTGGTTAATCACCGGCTAAAAAGTAACTCTCTCGGGGGAGGGGGAGGGAAGTAACTTTCGAAACCAAGATCCAAACAGTTATTTTTGTAATTAGTCTTTCAGTATTGTTCAGGCTACTCTTCTGTTTCTCCTATCCAAGCTTTCTAAAGTACTTAGTGCTAAAAGAAGAAATTGCAACAAATTTACCTTAAAGATTTTTGTTCGCACTTACTTGCAACACTAGCATTTTATAGAATGTGCTTTATGACGAGCAGATATTGGCTTATAGACAAGTGACTTTCAAGGAAAGCAGCAACAAAAAGTTACACTAGTGGTTTCAAAGAATCCTTGTAAAGGTTAAAGTGGGGGCACTATCCTTATGGTCCTGGCTAAAACTCAGCAATTTTCAGATTTGGCTCTTACTGCTTTCCCTCTTGGTTTTGGGGTGCTTAGCTTAGGCCCTGTACCCCAGACTTTAGCATGAGTAAATGCCTATTGGGTTAGGTATGTTGAGTCTGAAGAGCTCATTTCTGTAATTCCAGCACTTGGGATATAGCCACAAAAGGATTGTTATAAACTAGCCTTTGCTACATAACTGGTTCCAGGCCAGCCTGGGCTATATGAGACCTTTCCTCAGTCAGCCTGTCAGTCAATAACTGGATCCTCATCAATAGTCTCACTTTATTTAACATTAGAAACATACCTTTGGCTTGGTGCACACCCTTAATCTCAACACATTTCAGGCAGAGGCAGGAGGTCAGCCTGGTCTATTCAGTGAGTTTAGTACTACTTAAAGAGACTCTTTCAAAAAAGAAAGAAAGGGAGGGAGGAAGGAAAGGAGGGAGGGAGGAAGGGAGAGAGGAAGGAAGGAAGGAAGGAAGGAAGGGTCTCTGAACTAGGCATGGTTTTTTTTGTTTTGTTTTTCGAGACTGGGTTTCTCTGTGTAGCCCTGGCTGTCCTGGAACTCACTCTGTAGACCAGGCTGTCCTCGAACTCTCGAACTCAGAAATCCGCCTGCCTCTGCCTCCCAAGTACTGGGATTAAAGGTGTGCGCCACCACTGCCTGGCATTAGGCATGGTTACATGGTCTTTTAGTCCCAGCATTTAGGTAACAGAGGCAGAGGCAGAAGGATCTGGAGTTGGAGTTGGTTATGGTTTATATGTCCTCGACCCAGGAAGTGGCACTATTAGAAGGTGTGGCCCTGTTGGAGTAGGTGTGTCACTATGGGTGTGGGCTTTAAGATGCTCATCCTAGCTGCCTGGAAGCCAGTATCCTGCTAGCAGCCTTAGATGAAGATGTAGAACTCTCAGCTCCTCCTGCTCCATACCCGCCTGGATGCTGCCATGTTCCTGCTTTGATGATAATGAACTGGACCTCTGAACCTGTAAGCAGCCCCAATAAAATGTTGTCCTGATAAGAGTTGCCTTGGTCATGGTGTCTGTTCACAGCAGTAAAACCCTCACTAAGAGAGAGTCCAATTTTTGGCAACATTGTGAGTTCCTCGTCTGCCAGACTCTAGTTCTACTCCCTTGTAAATCTGTAAGAAGGCTGATCTCACCAGAAAGTAGAATGGTTGGCCAGAGAATCATCCTCAGACCTGTGACAACTTGACATTTACACTTCTTTCTATGGCACAGTCCTCTGAGGTCTTCAGCCTTCCTTTCTAAAGACTTAAGGCCCACAAACTTGGCAGAAAGTAGCAAGACTGTCCTGGAGCTGTGGCTCTGAGACACTGACATAGGTGCTGGGCATGGAACTCCGGTCCTCTGAAAGAACAATACATGCCCTCAGCCACTAACCCATCTCTCCACCCCTAGATGATATGCTTTAAATTGATTAATTGCCCTTTAAAAGGCATTCAAAATTCAAAAATGTTCAAAATGGGCAAGCAGTCTGACTCTTCCTAGGGAAATATAAGGAAATGTCTGTTTCCCCCAGACAGAGCAAAGAAGAGATTCCAACCAAGTTCAGCTTGGTGAACCAATGAGTTCGTTGGTCTTACAGGAACATGAGTGAGTGTGGGGTTACTTACAATAGTGTGGATGACTCAAAGGCAAACCATGTAAAATCCCTACCTCACTGTGGGGATGACCCACAAAAGCTGCTCCATTACAGTCAAAACTACAGTCCACTGTCCACCTTCTGTATCGTCTAGCACCCCCTAAGATCAGGTATGGCTGCAGCAAGCCTTTGTCTGGGGTTGGGAACTTAGGAGAGAGTCACATTTCCCTTTCCCATCAGTGAGAAAATGGAGTAGGCCTGATCTCATGACCCTGTTCTATGGCTGAGCACAGCTTCTCTGATTTGAGACAATGATGTCATGTCTTACCTAGAGAAGTTCCACTATCCGGTGAAAAGAATTCCTTTCCCTCTGACTCTTAGATTCTTAGGTTTTTTCCCCTTAAAATCATATCACTTAAGTATCACTGCAGAAGTGGATATATCTAAACTTATATACAGTATCCTTTAAAAATATTATAGATATGCTGGGCAGCCATGGCACACACCTTTAATCGCAGCACTTGGGAAGCAGAGGCAGGCAGTATCCAAGGTTGAAGTCTACATAATGAGTTCCAGGACACAGAGAAATATGTTGTGAAGCAAAAATTTCATATATGTAAAATATACATAATAAAATTATATTAAATATATCATAAAACAAAAATTATATATATAATAAAATTGGTTTTGCCCCTTTTTGTATATAACATTATAAATATTTAAACAAGCCAGGCAGTGGTGGGACACGCCTGTAATCCCAGCACTTGGGAGGCAGAGGCAGGCGGATTTCTGAGTTCGAGGCCAGCCTGGTCTACAGAGTGAGTTCCAGGACAGCCAGGACTACACAGAGAAACCTTGTCTTGAAAAACCAAAATAAATAAATAAATAAATAAATAAATAAATAAATAAATAAATATTTAAACAAAACACCACATCTGAGTGATGATTCCATGTAAATTTCTTTATTATATATTTGGTGTATCAGGGATTGAGCCCAGGGCCTCATACATACAAAAAATGTACTCTGGACTATACCCCAAACTCTATTTCATTATAAAAAGAGTTTGATTATTTTTTTAAATAGGGCTACATACACAATCTTCATTGTATCAATTTGCCATAATTTTTTTGTTTTGTTTTTTTCGAGACAGGGTTTCTCTGTGTAGCCCTGGCTGTCCTGGAACTCACTCTGTAGACCAGGCTAGACTCGAACTCTCAAACTCAGAAATACGCCTGCCTCTGCCTCCCAAGTGCTGGGATTAAAGGCGTGCGCCACAAACACCTGGCTGCCATAATTTCTTAATGTTCCTTCCACTTTTGCTATAAAATAAGCCTACAAAAATTAAATTATGCATTTTTTTTTACAATACAAATGACTGAAAGTGGAATTGCTAGGTCAAAGGTAACAGGTTAGTCTTTAACTGGGGGCATCAACTCTTTTAGGGGTGCCCTTGAGTTTTCAGGGGTCTTTGCTGCTTTCCCCTTCTCGATGATCTGAACAGCTCTAAGCAAACCATCCTGCAGAGCCTGGTTCTTTACCATGTTGGTGATCATGAATGAAACATCTTTGATGTACATCCGTCTTACATTTGCAGCATAGTGCTCTCCCTTGTTGCCATGTACAACGAAGAAGGTACAGAGTGCTGTGACGTCTCTCTCTCGCAGCCCATACTCTTCCAGGACAGACTCCCATACAATCCTAACGTGCTTGTTCTTGGCTTTTCTTCTAAGGACAGAGGCTAAAGTCGGAAGACTTCTCACCAGGTCTGGAAGCTTCTGAAGCATTCGGGTGTGCAAGCAAATAAGGACCTCGATGACATAGCTGTATAAAATATTCAGTTCCATTGAGGTAAACCTATGAAAAATATGCAAAGCTCCTTAAATGGAACATTTTATGTACAAACAAAAAGCTGCATTTGATTAGGTTGGCTCAATGTAAACCTTCTAGAAAAAACAGCTGTGTATTTCAGAAGTATGACCTGCACCATACCGCATAGCCAAGTTCTCAGGCCACCCATAGGATGAGCCTTGCATGGAGAGGGAGCTGCTTTACTCATTTCCCATTACCTGTTTCAGTAAGACCAGCAGGTAAGCGACTCACAAGGTGTGTACCGCGGTGCCTGCCATACAAACAGGTGTTCAGATTAATGCCTTCTGAATGGAGGAACCAAGCATAAGCGAGACCTTTGGGGATCATGCCAAGCTCAGTTTTGGAATGGCCACCGAAAGCTTTCACAGAGCTACAAAAGCCTGGATTTCTCAACCATTGCTCACCCGAGGGCCAGAGCTGCTGTCCATATCTCATCTTGGGCTGCTTGGCTTGCCAAAGTCTTGCTATGGTGTTCAAATCGAAGTGTCAGGTTATCCTTGGTGATGTCCAACTCTTTGAACTGTGTGTCTAGAGCTTGGAGTTTGTTGTCTACTCTACAGGGTTAAAGAATCAAAGGAAGTCCAGGTCAAGGGAAACCCAGAACTCTAACAGGTCATTTACAACCCCTACCTAGTTTACACAGGCACTCAATTGCTGACAGGGTTCTCATTTGCTGTGTGTGTGTGTGTGTGCATGTGTGTGTATGTATGTGTATGTGTGTGTGTGCATGTGTGTGTGTGTGCATGTGTGTGTGTCTGTGTGTGTGCATGTGTGTGTGTCTGTGTGTCTGTGTGTGTCTGTGTGTTCATGTGAGTAT